CTCTCTCTCTCTCTCTCGTGCGCGCGCGCGTGCGCCGCGACTTCCGTGCCCCGACTTCCCTGCCTCGACTTCCCTCTGCCGACCTCCATTCCCAAACTCCCCTCCCCTGACCCCCCTTCCCATCCTGACTTCCCTCCCTGCACTGACCCCCCTCCCACGACTTCCCTACCATCCTGACTCCCCTCCCTCCCCCGATGTCCCTACATTGACGTCCGTACTCCAATGTCCCTACCTTAACTTCCCTTTACTGACCTCCCTTCGCCAATCTCCCTCCCACGACCTCCCTTCGCCGACTTCCTTCCAGATCCCAGCGTCCCTCCCCTAACTTCCCTCCATCGATCCCCACCTCTCTCGCCCGATCCCGACTTTCCTCCATCGATCCCCACCTCTCCCCCGATCCCGGCTTCCCTCCACCGATCCCCACCTCTCTCCCACGATCCCGACTCCCTCCTCCGACCTCCCTCCCCCGACCTACTTCCGGTGACTTCCCTCCCCATCCCGACTTCCTTCCCCCCAATTTCTCCCTATCGATCCCCACCTCTGTCCCCTGATCCCGACTTCCCTCTCCGATCCCATTTCTCCATCCCGACCTCTAGTTCCCCCGAATTCGATCCCCCTGCCCTGACAGCTCTTCCTCCTCTTCCTCCTCCTCCTCCCCCTGCTCCTCCTATTCTTCCCCCGTTACTCCTCCCGCTCCTCCTCCCGCTCGTCTCGCGGGCGTGCCCTCACCCGCCGGCAGTCTGCACTCTCTCTCTCTCTCTCTCTCTCTCTCTCTCTCTCTCTCTCTCTCTCTCTCTCTCTCTCGTCGTCCCTTTCACACCGTTTAACAACAACAGATGATGGATCGTCCTTCTCCCGCTCCCCCTCCTGCTGCTCCTCCGCCCCTGGTCCTCCTCCCGCTGCCGCTCCTGCTACACGTGCGTGTGTGTGTGTGTGTCAGAGAGAGAGAGAGAGGGTACTTCCATCGAACGAATCTACCGCTAGAACATCGAAATATACACTGCCAGTTGTAGTGTATATTTCGATGTTCTCTGTGTGTGAGTGTGTGTGAGTGTGTGTGAGTGTGTGTGTGTGTCCCTGCCCCCACTTCCCTACCCCGACTTCCCTGCCTCGACTTCCCTCTGCCGACCTCCATTCCCAGACTCCCCTCCCCCGACCCCCCTTCCCATCCTGACTTCCCTCCCTGCACTGACCCCCCTCCCACGACTTCCCTACCATCCCGACTCCCCTCCCTCCCCCGACGTCCCTACTCCGACGTCCATACTCCAATGTCCCTACTTGGACTTCCCTTTACTGACCTCCCTTAGCCGACCTCCCTCCCCAGACCTCCCTTCGCCGACTTCCTTCCGGATCCCAGCGTCCCTTCCCTAACTTCCCTCCATCGATCCCCACCTCTCTCGCCCGATCCCAACTTTCCTCCATCGATCCCCACCTCTCCCCCGATCCCGGCTTCCCTCCATGGATCCCCACCTCTCTCCCCCGATCCCATCTCCCTCCTCCGACCTCCCTCCTCCGACCTCCCTCCCCCGACCTCCTTCCGGTGACTTCCCTCCCCATCCCGAACTTCCTTCCCCACAATTTCTCCCCATCGATCCCCACCTCTGTCCCCCGATCCCGACTTCCCTCTCCGATCCCATTTCTCCATCCCGACCTCTACTTCCCCCGATTGCGATCCCCCTGCCCTGACAACTCTTCCTCCTCTTCCTCCTCTTCCTCCTCCTCCTCCCCCTGCTCCTCCTGTTCTTCCCCCGTTACTCCTCCCGCTCGTCTCGCAGGTCGTGCCCTCACCCCCCGACAGTCTCCACTTTCTCTCTCTCTCTCTCTCT